CAGCTGAGTCCTTAGCCATCTTCAAGAATCGGCTAAAAACACATCTCTTCCATCTTTATTTGACCCTCTAACTCTAGCACTCTCTATTCTAATTCTATTCTTTATAAATAAAATAAAAACTTGCCCCTTTTAGACTTGCACTCTATTTGTTTACTAACTGCTTGTTTTCTTAAAAAAAAAAAAAAAAACTAACACTTGCTCCTCTAATCTTTTTGTATTCTATCTATTTGTTTTCTTTTTATTTATTATACAATTAACAAAAGCAAAAAGGCCTCTAACACTAGCTTGCTCTATTCTTTTTCTATTCTATCCGTTTTCTTTTTATTTATTATATGATTTAAAAAAAAAAACCTTGCTACGTGTACTGCATTAAGCTAACTGAGACTTGTTATAGCACTTGCATATCATTGCTGTCTTGTTGATTTTGATTGCTTCCATTGTCCTCATTTGTAAGTCACTTTGGATAAAAGCGTCTGCTAAATGTCTAAATGTAATGTAATGTAAATATGATGGTATCCACAAAAACATTAAGCAGCACAATTGTTTTCAACATTAATATTAATAAATGTTTCTTAAGCAGCAAATCAGCATATTAAAATTATTTCTGAAGGATCATGTGACACTGAAGACTGTAAAGTTAAAAGCTGAAAATTCAGCTTTTAAAATACATTTTAAAATATAATCAAATTAAAATAGTTATTTTAAACTGTAATAATATTTTACAATATAACTGTTTGTACTGTATTTAAAAAAAATAAATGCAGCCTTGGAGAGCAGAAGAGACTTATTTAATAACATTTAAAAAGGTCCAACCAACTCCAAACTTTTGAACAGCAGTGAATATTATTTTTTATTATATATAATATAATTGATGATATATATATCATAGTATTTTAAAGAATATTTTTTTTTTATCAAAGTTGGAGCAAAACTCTGCAGAACTGTGGCTCTCCAGGACTGACGTTGGCCACCCTGATTTAGATGATAATGCTTACAAATAAATGCAAACAATAAAAGAGTTTGCGATGTCATGGCAAAATGATATGCCCCAGTATGGCAGATACTGTCTTACTACATACTCAAAAGTATGCACAAAGTGGGACACAGCCTTTGTTAATTGTCTGTGCTGCTCTTGTCTCACTGCTCTATTCTGCCCTCTAGC